TCTTTGGGCCCATTTCCTTTAAGACAGTATTACAGCCCTGTGAACAGAGATTGCTAAGGACCTACGGCTGGGGAGATGCCAGAACGTGTGTCAGGGCAGAGTGCTCATGCAAAATGAGATGTCAGGAGCGGTCCCTGCAATACCATCCAGAAATGTTCAGATCCTTTGGTTTAAAGCTCTGTAAAGCTTGAGAGCTCAAATGAATTGTATCTTATATTAATTAACACACCTGTTTGGGAACAATGAGTTTTTCTTCCCTGGTCTTTCCTATCATCTTTGATTCTTCACCTGATTTTTCAGTTCAGGGTTTTAAGTGAGAAACCTGATGAAAAGAACGCTCTTGTTCACGAGCGGCTGTAGAGGGGAGAGGTCATGATGGTGCTTGGAGGCGTTTTTTGTTGCTAAGGAAAACGTGGAAGTCTGAACAAGGTGTGACTGCGTGACAGACCACAGAACGGGAGCTCTGTCTTGCTCCTGGGGTGTAAGGGAGAGCTCTATTCTTGCATTGTCTCTATCCCAGCAAGTGTCCCACGCGCTTTCCCTGTGTCTAGTCTCACTCCCCATGAAGCTGCAAAGCTGCAGTGGCTTTGTCCTCGCACCATTGTGCTGTTGACTTTTAACCCCTCATCCGGCTGTGTTGTTGCACGTTGTCTGTTAACATTTGTGTCAAGTCTAAAAAATGTTTAGAAACTGTGAAAACACTGTTAAGAAATGGGCTGAGTTACATCAACAAGTGAGGAGAAAGTGTGGGGGCTGCAAACCTGCACTGACACGGCAATGTTTTTTTCAGAGACCCAACCGAGTCCATCAGAAGATATTGAGCCAGAGAGAGAAGAACTCTGCTCGGACAGCAAAGATGCACCTATGCAGGTAAGAGAGTATAAAGCTGGGGAAGCGTCCTGTTTCCAGTCCTGCTTTCTAGATCCTTGGCTCAGCTGGGCTATGCTAGTATTTCCCCTTGGGTGGTTGAGAGCATGGGCTTCTGCTGCTAGGATCCTCATAATCACTTCTCTTTTCGCTTTCCTCTCCGCTGCTTTGTAACTGCAGGCTCCTTTGGCCAAGGGTTGCCTGCAGCTGCTTCTGGAGCTGGAGAGCTGATATCAGTTCCAGCTTGTTATTTTGTATCATGTCCATTTCTGGGCTGGAGGATGTCCTCAGTCTGGACAGCAGCCCTGTTGCTTGCCCAGGGTTAGGAGCGTGGTACTGTGATGGTCAGCAGTGCAGGGGATTCCAGGAGCTTTGGGGGGATTCCTGGTAAATCTTAGTCACATCATACTGTGACACATTTTTCCCTGCTACAGTCCTTTGAACTTCAGTGTCTTTTGTTTTCCACAGTCTGTCTCTGAGAGGCTGAGAGGAGAGGTTCACTCAGAGAGATTGGGTTGGGATAAAGATGACATTGAAATGTTGAGAGCTGGTGATGGTTTGCAGTCCAAGGAGAGTGAGCTGAGCCCAGGAATCTTGATTTTTATGCAGTAGTAGTTAATAGCAGTAGTATGTCAGTGGCAGGGCCATCCTTTCTACCTCCTGATGCAGATGTGCGCTGTTACGTGGCTCCTTTTCCTGTGCTGGCACACCTGTGCAGCAATTGCTGTGCAGCTGTCACAGTACCGACGTCTGACTTCAGTTCCTGCTTCTGATAAAACTCCCTTTGTCTATTAATTTAGAGAGCTATATCAAAGGGGTTGCCAAGTACTGCTCTGGCAGGGTACATGAATATAGAATCGTACAGCTCTTGACAAGAGGATTCATTTGTGGAAGGCTCATTCTGGGAGTCTGCAGCTTGTACAGGATGCCTGCAGCTCCAATGTCTCATTGTCACAGGCCTCTTAATAAAACAGATTCTGCTCTCGTGTGCCTTTATTCTGCAGGTATCTCAAAGCACTGCTCCGTCAATTAGAGTGCAGCACGTGCCTCCTGGCAGCTGTCCTTCTGTGCAGGGCCCTTTAGCCTGAGCCACTAAAGGATGTTCATGACCCATTCAGTTAGGGTCAGAACGTTGACCTGTCCCTCACGCTGTGTGGATGGTGTGTTTGGGTCTTAAGCCTCTGCCTAGGCAGCTGCTGGGCCCGGGATGGTCAACGCAGCGTCCAAGAGTGACGTGGATGCGCTTCCTAGGGATTGTTCAACAGCATTATCATTGGCAGCAGGCACCAGTCCTGAGCCTGCAGCCTTCCAGGAGGACTGCCGAAATAACTATCATATAGATCAGCCGTTAGCGTGAAGCAGGCATAGACCAACAAGACTGACTTCTTCCCAGAAGACGCTGAGCCAGGACAGAGGAGTCTTGTTCTTGAGCTCAGCCTCTAGCATTGCTCTTGTCTGGCTGTTGGCTGCAAGCACTGTGTCTTGAAGGCAGCTTTCTGTGCTGAAAGGGAGAGGCAACTGCCTCTGGCAAGGGTGATTGGTTCTGCAATTGAGGTTTCCTAGACTGTTCCTGCAAGCTTTGGAACAAGCAGTTTTGGGATCGTGGTGCCTTTTATTGCAGAATGCTGCCTTTCCATTTAAAATTAGTAATTTACCACAGATCGTAGGCAGGCAGGGTGTGCAGAACTGGTGATCTCCTAAGATTGTTTCAAAAATGGCAGCCAGAAGGAGCAGTGACTGCTGCTTTTCCCATCCTACGTTTCTGTGTTGTCTGACTAGAGTAACGCAGGTTTGATCTGATCGTTCATGTTTGACATGTCTTGTTTTGTATGACTCCTCTTTGTGACACCCTGTGGTGAGGACTTCACAGGATGTGGTGACACTGAGAAATGAGAACAGAGTATGAGTGAAAATGCTGAAAGTGATGTACTTCAGCAGCCTACGTTCAGATGGAGAAACTCTTGTAACAACTCTTCCATACTGCAGAGAGTTTCCCTGGAAATGCGTGTCCTGTCTGTCCTTGGGGGTCACTACCTGTGGCCTCGTCAGCCAGGTACTGGGGGAAAGGGTTTTCTGAGTTGGATTCTCAGTTCAAGGCCCAGTTCTGCAATCTCTTGCTTAGCTCCTGTGAGTCAGTAAAGTGCTCTTCTTCCCCTCAGGACATAAAAATGAGGATGGGTGCTCCGGATCATACCCTCATTTGGCAAAGCAGGTGATAAACCAAGTAATACGACAAACTGCTCCAGCAGCAATGAGCATCTTGGCTGACCCCAATTACTGCTTCCCTGAAATTACACTGTTGGAGGGAAGCAGACAGCGGCTTTGCTGCATGCTGCATACATGTCACGGATTAGAAGCAAGGACAGACAATTCTCCTATATTAATTTCCTACAGGTTTCTTCTACATAGTTAATATTTAAATAAGTTTTTTAATTATCATAAAAAATAAATTCTTTCTTAAATCTAGAGAAATCTCGTAGGAAGCCTAACTAGGCAGAGCTGTAGCTGCAAGTGAGATGGTAGCAGTCTGCAGTGCCTTGGACGCATGAATAGTATAGGGAACATTTGCATTTTGGAGGGTGATTAGTGGTGCACCTTTGCAGCTGTGTGCAATCAATGCGAAAGGAGAGTATCCGTGATAACGGCACCCAGAAAACAAAGATGGGCTGTGACATTTCGCCCTCGGAACACTGGTGAAAAGCCACCTCTAGTAATTTTGTGTGGCATTGATTTTAACTATGTTGCTTCTCTCCTTGATCTGTGTCCCCTCTGATGACTGCTCCAGCCACATCCTCTAGAGAGGAGGAGCTTCCCAGTGAGCTCACCATACTCGCTATGTGTACAGCAGCCTCCTTTCATCCTGGAAGAAGATCTATTCCCAGACAGTGTAGCCTCCGTAGCGTGGATCATGTCCAGAGACTGATGAGCACAAGTCAGGTGTTGAACTCTTGCTTTGCCCCATGAATTTTCCATCAGTTTCGCTTCTGAGCTTTCTTGATTAATGGAGGCTTTGCTGTTTTTCTGCAGTGGTACAGGTGATGTTTGCCTTAAACGTTGTGCACGGCTGTGCAGGGAAGTTTCACTGTGATTCAGCAGGGCTTGTTGCCTTTGGAAGAAGAATTAGATAGCGCTGCGCAGTTTACTCAGCCAGTGGTGTTATTTCTGACCTGTGTGTGGTGAAGGGAGAATAAAACTTTCTAAGAAAAGCTGAGTCTATGGAAGGGTGAATAGCTCCCAGACAGCACAGAGCTTGACAGCTAGCAGAAAGAGGGAAGCAGCACAATGGCCTGTCTAGCTGGGTTTTTTTTCCTCCTCTTCCTCTGCAGGCTGGTGGAGATGAAAATGCTGGCAGGACTGTGTCTGAGTGCAGCCCTGCAGCTGCTGACCGTGTGTCGTGCCCACTGTGTGACCAAGGCTTTCCAGCCACGGAGATCGAGCTGCACGCCATGTACTGCAACGGCATCATGGGAGAGGAGGCTGGCGAGGACACTCCAGGTCTGCCAAGCACTGGTTTTGTGTATTTGTTCTTTGTACTTGCCCCCTTTTCCTGTTGCTTGCAGCCTTGTGCTGTAATTGTGTTCCTGTCAGGATATTTTGTGTGTGGCATGTGGAGAGATTTGTTCTCTCTGCCTTTTTCCATCTCCAGGCTGGTCAGGGAGAGAGTTACTGGAGGCTCCTCTCTTTCCAGCATCTACTGCACAGATAGCTCTTCTCTCTGAATGGCTTCTTATTAATAATACTAATAATGGCTCCGCATTATTAGTCCCTTGGAAAGTGTATAAGCTGAATATTACCCCAGGATAGTATGGCCCTGGCTGCTTCACTCACAAGGCACATCTTTTGTGTGTTTTGTGAGGGCCTGCGGAGAATTTGCCAGTGGTAGAAAATGACGGGCTCCAGAGCCACGCGAGTGAGAGCATCCTTCAGGGCCCTCAGGAAGGGAGCATCTTCTGTACAACTCTGAGCACAGTCTGCACTGTACAATGAGTCTGACATTTGTTATCTGTAAAAATGGTTTGTTCGGCAGTGAGAGACAGTAGAAAAGTTTCCCTCTTGTTCCTCTAAAATTATAAAATGATAACTATCGACCTGGGAGCTCAGATTTTTCTCCTTCATGTGAAGACTGAAGCGTAGAAGTGCGGTCAGAATGCTGATATTAAACCCTCTTTGCAGTTTTTTCCATGTCAATTTTTCATAACCAACCTTTGTAGAGCTTAAGTGAACAAATACACCAGCTGGTTATCAACATATTCAATAAGTTATGTTTTAGCTTCTGCTTGAAATGTAAAGTCTGTGTTAGCATAATGTCAGGTAATATCAAAGTAGTAGCTTGTAATAAGATTAACTTTTCAGGTTATGCATATATAATTTTCAGTTACATATTGAGTTATTAAGTACAGCCTTAATCTATGATGTCTAAGCAATTTGAGCAAATCGGAGCTGGTACAAGAACTGTAATTTCTGCATTTCTCTAGCAAAAGGAAGTTTCACCATGTAATCGTAATGCAGAGTTGATGTAGTTTTAAAATACAGGGTCCCTGTTATGCTAAATCTTTGGAGATATGATGTGGATCCCGTCAAGATAGACAGAGCCAGAGTAGCAGCTGGGACTGTTTGGTGCTGAATTTTGGTGGGGACTTGTCTCTGCAGGCACAAACCAACTACTTATGCAAAAGGGGAACGGCTTACGCAAATCATGAGTTATCACAGTTCCCTTCCCCTCCTCAACACTGATAAAGGTCTTATCCGTGCTACAAAATGAAGCAGAATTTTTATTATACTTTTTAGCAGGAACGTCTTTTGTCCTGTGGTAATCGAGTCCCCAGTGTGCCTGGATTGAGAGTATATCCATTTGATCCTAGGGAATCCTGACTGTGATCCAGAAAAGGCTTTGAATTTTTTGGCAATGCAAGGGAACTTGCTCTTTCCTTTGGTGTTGTAATT